AAGACTATGGTCTTAAACTTTTGATCAGCTGAAAAAATCATGTTTGAGTGTAAATAAACAGGCTTTAAGTTTGATGACTTCATGTTTGTGTGAAGGGATCAATAGGCACATCTACAAGTGTCACTTCTCGTGCTGTTACATTCTGCTAAATAATCAGGTTAATATCAAACATATAGCTGTAATTGTGGGCAAGCATTAATCTGCACTGATTAGTTGAACAAAACACAGATATTTGGGTGTGACATAAACTTTAAAAACTAGTGAGGGGAAGGAAGTATTCACTGATTACATATTAGAGGAAAAATACCTTGCAGAAATGTGTGTTTTAGAAATTATTGATTAAATAAGGTTAATAATCTAAACAGTGAAAAACACAATTGTTAGACAGTAGCAGTCACCTTTTAGTTGCTGTCCTAATTCCAAGAAAAAGGGACTATGATAGAACAGTCACTCTGAAAATATTTTAAATGTACAAATTGGTTGTCACACTTACGATTGTGCTGAGTCAAACGCACACGCACAAAACAGCTGTGATAACTGTACAATGGTGGCATTTATTGCTGTGATGCTGGTATTGAAAATTAAGTTAGCGAGACACATCGTCTTTGACTTTCTCATGTGACAATTGTTAAAATGAGACACTAGTGTTAAGTTTTTTTCTCTCTTTGTTTTTGGTCAGATGGTTAAATMGTTTCTGTGCTGATTCACCTTCATGTCGCAGCATGTTTTTGTTTTGTGGACCAATGAAGTTGATTCATCCTCACTGATGTAAATATCACTGAAAAGAATTAAACGCCTTAGCTAGTCTGTCAGCTACCAYCTTCTGAAATTCTTGAGTGCTTTATCTTTTTTTTAAAGGAAAGTTTTAGCTGCACTGCATTAAAAAATTCTATAGTAACCTCAAATAATAATCATAATGAGAATGATGTGACCAGCTTTAATAAATGTTACGTGTAGGTGGGCTGAAACAAGATTCATGAAGGTGTTACAGTCATCACATTCATTCATTGTTACTTGTTTAGCATATGTACTGGTAGAAATAGATTACTATTTTTTTCCTTTCCAGATAAAAACAATAGTTAATTTAATGCTTAGTAATTATTAATGCATAAAGTAATAAGGTGATTTAAAAGTAGGTGTGTCTTGCTGTAATTTGCAGTTTAGACAACTAAACCTATATGGAAATTACAGCTTTTTTTTTACCTGTTTATATCAAATGTATTAAATTAAACACTGGGTGTCTTTGTCCTTTTTATTCAGGGTGGATCATGCAAAAGCTGCTACTTTAATCCAAACAACTGAGGCAGATGGTTTTTGACTCCCTAGACACAGTTCATTCAGATAAACCATGTTCTTTTGAGATTATATGCTATTAGTCATGGATTATTTACTGCAATTCTCTCCTTTTTTTAATTTTTCAAAATCTAAATGAAAAATTAAATCTCTGTAAAAAGGGACCTCCAGTACTGGATTGACAGCATATGAAAAATGTGTAGTGGACCAACCATGGCAATGGTTTAAAGTCTGATTTAGGTGGAATCAAATAAGAAATGAAAGTTAGGAGTTTGCTTACTTCATAAACCCATGCTAAACACTTTATTTTTTTTTACAGCTGATGTAAAACAAAGCATGTATTTAAAAAATAAGTGTAAAAAGATTTTATAGTCATTAAAAAATTTGTTTTGCTTTAAGTGGTTGTAGGGTTGTTTGATTACTTCCTACTGCATAAATGTAATTTTAAAGATGCAAAAATTGTCTGTTTTTGTTAATTTCACAGTCAGATGTGTTTTGGACTGAATGTAGAGATTATTTTAGCAGAATGGCAGCATCTCCTTCCACTGGTCGTTCAGAGTATCTCTATCAGCCATACACTAAGCAACAGACAAGCCCAACACACTGCTCTGACTTTGTCACCCATGGTCCCACACCGGGCCCCATACTTTTGTTGGATGGGCTGACTTGTTCTATGCATCAAATCACATTACCATAWATAAAAGATAAACCTCTAGATTTATATATTACAACCACAAATGCACAGTTGATCATTTATCCGTGACAGCGAATTCTCACAGCCTGTGTTGCTTCTTAAAATAAGTGTCCTGATTTGGTTTCGCTCTTTGACTTACAGTCTTCATCTTTTTCCAGACTTATGCAGCATCGTTTCATTTCAACTTTTAACAGCCGTTCGCATCCTTCATAATCTGTTTTGGTGCTCCGTTGCATTTCGTGACACCAAGACTCCGCTCATCAAGCGTCAAGGGTCGTAGGAGGCGTCGTGCAGTCCACAAGGCGCCCAGTGTGACGTGGTGGACCTCAGAGGCATACGGCACGACAGCCAGGCAGCTCCCGGCGCATCTCGTGCACTGAGAGAGCCTCCTCTTTCAGCAGGTTGCGTCAGCTGGAGGAGAGCGTGACGCCACAGCCGGGCAGCTAAAAGCTCTGCGATGCCTGATCGCCGTCGGACATGAGTCCACAATGAGTAGTCCATTGTGTTCTCACTTGTGGCGGAGCAGTGGTTCAAACTAACTGACCAAATCATTTAAAAAGTAGTTTTACAATCAATCAGTTTTGTTTATTGCTCGTGRAAGTTTTTATTTTTTTAATGCGTAAATGACAAAATATGAATTTTCTCCGCTTTTGCATTTAAGTGTTTTCCTGTGGATTGGTCTAATTGCTGAATTATGGAAAGTGGAACGGATTCTCTAACGGTTAGGCTGCTGGATGTAAAACGGCGTGAAAAGTCATGGTGGATGGGGCAGACCAAACATTTCTGAGGAGTGTCTTTTAAGTGCTCTGTGACCCACATTCAGGTTCCCCAAGGTAAAGGAAGTGGCAACTGACACATGCATAAATACTCGTGCACGCTTCTGCAAACAACTGACATGCTCAACCCCAGACACGCATGCTCACGTACTYGCAGCCAGATGAACATGATCTACAAATGGCCTTTTTTTTTTTTTACTCAGACATATTGCCTGATAAACTATTCAAACCTGCCCACCATAAACGCAGATCGTCAGCGCGCACACAGATGTGGGCTGCACAAACGGCACAGTGCAACAACACAACAGGCTGATTGAGTGAGGAAAGGTCAGAGCCCAGTTCAGATGGCCTTTTGAACCAGAGTGAGGGTGTTTGAAGAGCCAGACCACCCTCCAAGCTGCTACCCAGCTCCACCATTTCCCTGGTGTGTGTGTGTGTGTGTGTGTGTGTGTGTGTGTGTGTGTGTGTGTGTGTGTGTGTGTGT